TTTGGCATTCATCAGGCGAAATCCATTGTAGCGTTGGGATGACAACTGAGTTTAGAATAAACAAGCTGCAACAGAGAGAAATTGAAAATTTTAAATAAATTGGTTGCAACTGTAATTAACTTAACCAAGATACTTCATGTGCAATAAACTTTACATTCAACTGAATAATGACCAAAGAATTAAAAATCTATACAAGTAATTGCATTTGTGCATAGGGTTCCAAAAGAAAACTGAATAGCATTCAGTAAAAGAAGAAAGGGAGTGTCGTGCCACGGGCTAGGCTGGTCCGTGGGCCAAGCCTTGGGCCAGGTCAGGCTGTGGACCGGGCCAAAGCTATTTATTTAAAAAAAAATTGAAAAAAAAACTTAAAATTTTAATTTTATATGAATTTTGATGTATACAATTGCTTATATACAACAATTATACTATATATTATTATATAATTATATAATATATTATATATTATATATAATATAAATAACATATGGACCGTATCGGGCCGGGCCGCAGGCAGCATGACCTGCTCGCTCGTGCCATGCGGCCCGGCCCGTGGACCTAAAACCCCAGGCCTGGCACGGCCCACAGACCATCATGCTGGGCGACGGGTAGCTCAGCCCCATTTACACCTGTAAATGGGAAGATGAAAGTAGGACCATGCTAACATATAGGTCAAATAAAATTAATAAATTTCTTAAACCATCACCAGTAAATTATTCAGTGAAGAGGAGAGGGCCATACCAGCAGATTTCCAGAAGAAGCAGACTGTGGAGCTTGCTGGAGCACATGCTGCTTTCTCTAGGCATCCACAAAGTTGGGTGTAGCCGCTGCAGAGTTCTTATCCTTCGTAGTATGACCAGAAAATGTGCTAGCAACTTGGCCCTTGTCTGAAACCGAGTTCAAATTCCTACTTGGTAAGCTTCCCTGCAATGGGTTTCCAAGAATAGTGATTTCTGTCAGGGGCACAACATTGAGATTGTATGGCTTGGCCCCATAAAAAGATGCAGAACCAGCAACTGCATGCCAGAAAGGATTCGTCCTTGTAAACTACTGATGACAGTAGATGCTCCGAGCAATGTGGTAATGAGTTGCGCACCTCTTTGGTCGCTGTTGAGAGAGAAACAAATGTGGTACCTAAATTTTTTTTAACACCAGATCACCACAAGATCATTAGAGAACTTTTGGTACATCGCCCAAGTGGACACTACATAAAAAAAATGACACATACCTGGCCAGGCGTCGAAGATCCAGAACTCCCATCCATGGACACAACAGCTTGAAGTGGTGGCATGTATCTGCTTATGAAGATGGGGGTAATTTCTTAGCTATGAAATATTTATTGTTACGGTTACAATGATAAATAACCAAAACATGTTGGGAAATATAACGAGGTAATCGGATTTGAACCCAGAGAAGTAAGCCCGCCTGGCCAGCCAGCTATAGTCATCGGCAACGGAAAAGAGGTGAATTGAGCTAAAATAGAGAAGAAAGTTATGAGAAAAAGCAAAGATAAGGAGAAAAAAGGAAGCCACTCAATGCGATAACGTGGGGTCAATAAAACAGACACCCTGCATTGCAAAAATTGGAACTTCAAGTAAGTTTACCAGGTTTCTCCGCCTTCAAATCATTTCTTCTAGATTTTGGTAGAGTTGGCGGCGGAGGAGGTGGCTGCTGCTGTTGAACTTGCTGCGGTTGTTGCTGTTTGGTGCCACCAATACTACAACTTTCCCTATCAACCTTCTCTAAATCAAGCTACAGATCAAGAACCCTCTCCTTATTTCCAATAGGTTTCTGCCACAAAACCTGAAACATTTAGTGGACAATCTCCAGAGAGATTGAAAAAAAAAAAAGCAAAAGATATGAACAAAATAAAGAGGAGAGATTGAAAAAAAAAAAAAGCAAAAGATACGAACAAAATAAATAGTAAAAAATTAGAAACTAACCATCATCTTCCGAGCAGAAGCATTGGAAGATGACGGAGAGATCGGAGCCGGTGATGCTACTACAACACTTGGTCTCACTGATGTTTCGCCGTTCTTGCATGTTAAAAAATATACCACATTTGCAGGCGGAAAGCTCTTTCGATCACCGCCATTGAGAGAGAGGGGGGGAGAGAGAGGGAGAGAGAGAAAATCGTGAGAGAGAAGGCAAGGTTTGCCACTGTTACTGCTACTGCCGGAAGCAAGAGAAGGGGAAACCTAAAAAACCGAAATAGGGAGAGAGGGGGAGAGAGAGAAAGTGCGAGAGGGGTGATGTGGGGAGAGCAAAAAAACAAAAAAAAGAAAGATGATGGAGAGATCAGAGCCGATGATGCTACTACAACACTTGGTCTCGCCGGTAATGTTGAAGCGTGCCGGTGAAACAGCTAGCATTTTCATTGACAGGCTCTCCTTCGGACAGCCATCGATCAGATCTACGCAAAGAGGAGAAAGGCACAAAGGAGCTCTCCCTTCGAACTTGGGAAGAAGCATCTCGAACGGCAGGGAAAATCGAAACGCGAAGGAGCTCTCTCGAAGAGGGGCTCTCCCTTCGAACTTGGGAAGAAGCATATCGAAGAAATGGGAGAAGCATGCACACGCGTGTATCATGCAATGGATACACGCATGAAATATTTGCATGTGAAACCCCTAATCTACTCGTCCGTTTTTGTAGAAAGGAGAAACCACCCATTTAATATATAGATATAAATATTAGTAATTATTATTAATAATAATTTATAAAATATTAATTTTATTAGTTATTAATATTCTTAGCAATTTATTAATATCTTTCTATTAGTTATTAAMAACATAGATCATCTCAAATGTTATAGGTAAGATGTAAAAAATCAAAATGCAGACTCTCGATTGAAATGCACCACACCTTATAGAACATTTATGAAGGTGTAGTGTGGTTTAGTTTATACATYTTTGTTCACGGTGTAGACTGCTGGGGTGTGGTGGGGATGAAAACATAACTCCTGACTTCTCATTTATGCTATATAACACCCCTTATAACGCCTTGTAAGCCTACATTCCATTTTTTTTTTTTGTGTTTTTAGTAGAATCAGTTGTTTGCATTTCTCAAAGCATTCCCGATTTTACAAGAAACGAATTGCTTATACAATGCCTCAATGCCAAACAACCTCTTAATTCTTATGTTTAAAGTATTAGTTCTCATTTTCTCTTATTAATTTTAATATTTAAAAAATTTTCTTCTCATAATTAAAATATGCTATCATATTTAAAATAAAAATAAAATAAATAAAAATATAAGATAACATAAATTTTGTAGAAAAAAGTGTATGTCTCTAACAACATCTAACAAGTGACCTTACTAATCAATCGCAATCCAATCCAGACCTCTTACCCAAAGGGCACCATAGCTGCACATCGTAAACATTGATTCTTGTGGGGTTGGAGAGCTCAACACAACCGATCAAATAGTTCAATCAATTGGGCCATCATTGATTGAACGAATCCATGGCTTATAGCGAGCAAGCATTTTGGTGACGAAATGGGCCCAAAATCCTGATTAGGTGAGGTGTCAACTGATTAATTCAAGCACAAATTGAAAACAATGATAAAAAATAACATAAAAAAATTGGAATCAAATTTCCTTTCAGAAGTGATAAATCAATAATTCAAACAATCAARTAAAATAGAAAATAGGCATCTCTAATATTATATATTTATCATATATCAAACAAAAAATGTATAATAAATAAAAATTATTGTTATTAATGATGGAGATGGCTGTAAAAAATAATGAAGATGGTTAAAAATTAAAAAAAAAAGAATATTATCCTCTAACTCCTAACCAAATGACCGAGTCAAACAAATCAATGGTTTAGCCAGTCTGCTCCTCAAATTTTCTTTTAAACGTATATTGATAGAGAGATTAAATTTATTTGGTTTGCTTTGAAAAGAATYTCATTTCAGTTTGGAAGGAGTATAAATACAAATATGTAGAGCATGATTTTTAAAACTGGACTGGACTAGATGATCGGACCAGAAAAATCGGGGCCGGATTCATTTATCCCCAAAACCGCTTTTTTCCTCAAAACTGTTATTTTGGTCAGCAAACCGCTGAATTGACTGGTTAACCGTTCAAACAGTTTTGACTGTTTTTCAGTTTTTTTATTTTTTTGTCAGAACGGGCTGACTGTTCGAACCGGTAACCGAACCCCTGACCGGTTCGGTTTTAAAAAGCATGATGTAGAATATAAAACCTTACATTTTTGTATTATTTTGTATGTATTTGTACTCCTTCTAAATTGAGCCTAATACTGTGTTTAGAATCGATGTAAATAAAAAATGATGTAAAAGTTTATATCAATTCGATTTTATTGGTATTTTAAAAGGAATGTGTAATGATGATCGGTACTATAATAAGAAAATGGATATAAAACTTTACACCAATCATATCATGTTTTTAAAAAATGCTATAATCACTCTTCATAGTTGAGTGTAAAACATCGTCCATATGCTTTTACACCAATTCCAAACGCAGCCTAGTTAAACATTCATTCGGATTGCCGTTGGGCCTAATTAAACATTCATTCGGATTGCCGTTCAACCGATCCATGAGCACCCGCACTTGCTTCGCATTCGAATATTGCTCGGGTCGGGAACCGGGGAATGTCACAATGTCTTGAATGACCCGCAGGGCATGCGACTCCACTCAAATTCTCTTTTCTTTGTTTTTACAGATGAGATGAAAAATAAAAACTAGCAGTAACAAACAGAAATAGAATGTATACAAACCAATGAGTCCAAATTCTCTCGGGTCTCTCATCTTCTGTCGAGTTTTACACAGAAATAAATGTTACAGTGACGTTTTGTTTATTTAATTTGGATAGTATTTCTGCTGTAATAATACGTATATTTAAAACAATAATAAATTATAATCCTAATTCGGTGAATGTGGCCAGTGTTGTGGTTAAGAAATCCGGATTCATCTTTGGGACGTAACTAATCAGTTTGCACTATGATTATTGACACAAGCACATTTGCACCTTTGTTCTTCAGTAATTGGCACCAAAGCCGAAATTGGCCCATCAATTGGGCCATATGTGGACCTCGTTCGTTTATTGATGATTCACATCACATGTGGCTGTGGGTCTTAAGTCTTAACTGTTTCCTGATTGGTCTCGTTGTGGGTCCCTAGGCCTCAACTCACGTGTGGGTCCTATCTCATGGTCCCTGTGCGGGTCCCTTCTATCCTTGGTCCAGGGCAAAGAGCAAACGGTTAAACCGTAAAATTTCACGTAAACTTTTATTTTTTCGTGAAAAACAATAAGCAAACAATTAATAAACCAGAGTAGATGATGATTATTTATTAATTTTCTTTTCTTTTGTTTTTTAACTTAATTAATAATAATTAAATATTCAGGCTGTCTGTGTCCGGTGATGAGAAGTCTATTGCAAGCAACCTTCGAGTCTTTGAGAGCGGTAGCAAACAATAATCCCTAATTTCTCTCTTTTTACTCTTCATTCCCTCCACCTTCAACATCAAGGGCGTTTCTGCAACTTTCTCCCTCCCTTCCCTTCCCTTGTCTTCAGCAAAACAACAGGATTTTGATAGCCAACTTCGAAGGATGCCTGGCCTTGTTTCGCTAAAGACGCCACCAGAAGCTACGCCGCTTCGAGTTCTTGTTCCCGACGGCGATCATCAGTTCCAAAGCCATGAAGTGGAGTTGGAAAACCTAAACCCTAAGACTAGATCACCAATTCCGAAGAGAACCCCATCTCCATCCACATCTCGAGCTACACCCTCGCCGGGCCGGAGCTCCGGCAAGAAGAAGACACCGGAGAAGCCGAAAATTGACGAGTCATCCCTCGACAATTCCGATCTCGGGCCCTTCCTTCTGAAACTCGCCCGAGATACGATTGCATCCGGAGACAGCCCAAACAAGGCGTTGGATTTTGCGGTCCGAGCTTCGAAATCCTTCGAGCGCTGCGCAGGGGAGGGCGAATCGAGCTTGGAGCTAGCAATGAGTTTGCACGTCGTTGCGGCGATTTACTGCAGTTTAGGAAGGTTCAATGATGCGATCCCAGTGCTTGAGCGGGCGATTGGGGTCCCGGATGTCGCGAGAGGACCAGATCACGCGCTTGCGGCGTTTTCGGGTTATATGCAGCTTGGTGACACACATTCTATGCTCGGACAACTCGACGGATCTATAACCTGCTATTCTGCAGGGTTGAAGATCCAGGTGGAGGCTTTAGGAGAGACAGATCCAAGAGTTGCAGAGACGTGCAGGTAAGGTGCCGTTCACTCCATGCCTCTTTTGCTTTTGGTGCACGTTAGCTTAGCATAGTGCACGTTAGCTTAGCATAATCCATGTTTTTTTTTGGGTAAGGAATAGCATAATCCATGTACCATGTTTACAGAAAACAATCAGCAACGCTGTTCATCGTTTAGCGGGAAAAAGAATTAGCCTTCCATTTTCAAGGCAGTCCGTTCTACCTTTACCCTTTTTCGTATTCTATTCCTAGTGCCTACACATCGCGCAGATTAGCTTGGCCCTTGAATAAATTCGAGCTCTGGTTGCATTGTATGTATTTGTTATGTTAGAGGAAGAGGAAACGACGAACGTCGGCGGGGGATGGCCTGCGACTTGAGGTGAGTAGCCTTCTCCAGTGCCCAGTGGCAGTATCTACCCATTCACCGGCTAGAGATGCCACTGCCGACGCTAGGGCGCATGTTAGTAAAGATCCCTCTTGAAATTTAACGTGCGCCCCTTCCGAACAACGTGATGCGATGCATTGCATTTTTGGCTGGATGTGAGCACTGGCCCACTGGCGCGGTTTGTTCATGTCATGTTGGCAGATTCTTTGCCTCGTGATTTAGAATCTCGCTCATATATTTTCAGGAGTTCGGCTTCACACAGGGCAAAGCCCATTGGGGCAGCTTTTACTGCCTTGCATTGAGAATATCTCCGCACTAAGTGATCGGCTTCTATCAGGGTAAATCTGTGCCCACAACATTCTAACCGCCTTTCCCAACCTTGCATTGGGAATATCTCCCATGAAATAAAGCAAACAAATGCGGAAATATTCTCAATGCAAGGCAGTAAAAGTAGGGGTGGATTCGAGCTCGGTTCGAGACTATTCTATAAGGCTCAAGCTCGGTTCGAGCCAGAACCTTGAGCTCGAGCTCGGCTCGAGTCAAGAGTTCATAAGTTCGAGCTTGGCTCGGCTTGTTTTATATTTTATAAATATTTTAAAATAAAAATATTTAGAAAAAATAGTTTATAAAAATAAAAATTATATATAATTTTTTTATTTTATATTTAAAATTTTAAGAATTATAATAATTAATAATTATAATATTTTTATTATACATATATATTATTTTCTATAATTATATATATAGCCGGCTTGCGAGCCTCATGAGCCGAGCTCTACTAGGCTTGAGCTCGGCTCGTTTAACAATTGGGCTCGAGCTCGGCTGAAACCGAGCCAAGCTCGAGCAACTCGTGAAAAGCTCGGCTCGTTGCCACCCCTAAGTAAAAGCTGCCCGAATGGGCTTTGCCCTGACTGAAGCCGAACTCCATATTGATGGGCCACTCATACGGGCAAAATTTCGATCTTTGGTGTTTTCAACCCGATATTGATCCAGTCAATTGAACCATTCAAACCGTCATCGGTCAAAATTCTGGGTCCTGTTTGCATGAAACCCATTGTTTGGTAAAAAAACGTTGACATGGTCAAAAACCATCCAATCCGGATGTTGGCATTCTCCGACTGAAAATAGGTCTATTGGCTTCTATCAGGGCAAATCTGTGCCTACACCATTCTAACAGCCTTTTGCAACCTTGTATTGGGAATATCTCCCCGTGAAATAAAGCACACAAGTGCAGAGATATTCTCAATGCAAGGCAGTAAAAGCTGCCTGAGTGGGCTTTGCCCTGACTGAAGCGGAACTCCTTTTGGATACGTTTCAGGGTTTGGGGGAGACAGGCCTTAAACCGACCCCCTGAACAGGTTTGAAAAAAAACTAAAAAAGAAACACCGATCACAACAATTGCTGTATCTTTTGAACTGTTTAGAGAACAAGCTTCAATGTAAGCAGTTTTGATATATCACGTGGCCAAAAAGTTAGCCACGTCAGACTACAGGTGATTAAATGGCTTTATTTAATGGAACGTTTTTTGTGTTCCTGGAACAGAAAAGCAACTATTTTGTTCACGGGAGCCAACAAGCCAATGACTGGCCTAGCCTATATTATACTTGTGGACCTCTTGCCAAGAGCATACGTTTGAAATCTTTTGTTCACATAGACGGGATAAAAGATTTAAGTAGTACTGGTCGTTTGGTATATTTCATTATGACCGTTGTGAGCAGACGAAAGATTGGACTTGGTTATTCATCAAAAAAAAAAAAAAAAGACTGGACTTGGTTTTACAGCAATAGGAATTGCAATAACAAGAACAATACCATCGCTCATTAAGAACAACAGCAACAATGGCAATCATAATTTGTCTTATAACGGGGAATTTGATTCTCTACATACAATTTTTCTACTGATACCTAATGACCATAGGTACAAAAGTAATAAGGTTAGGTTTCCCATATATTAAATAGCTTCGACAATTTAGCTGACGGAAGTCATGCTATGTAAAATTAATTAACTTATAATTGATGATATAAAGTTTCTTATTTGTAAGTAACTTAACATAAATCTACTGACTAGTGACAATTTGCTACAAATGAGTTACTTTTCTATTGATATGCTGTACCAACTGACCATCAGTAGAAAAGTAATTGTTAACAGCATCAGCATGTAGAATGTAAACACTACACTTGAAGACAAGGCAATTTGGCATAAAAAAATAATGCAATTTAAATCCATAATTAAGGCTTATCAAATTGAATTTGTCCTTTGGCTTTACAAAAGTGTTATCCTATTTGATGCATTTCTGATGAGAAGGCCATTATTTTTGAAGTGTGGTGCTGATAATTTTGTTCCATAAATTCATTACCAGGGAATTAATTTTGAAACTTGCAGGTACTTAGCTGAAGCTCATGTTCAAGCAATGCAATTTGATGAGGCGGAAAGTCTGTGCAAGAAAACACTAGAGATCCACCATGAGCATAGTGCCCCAGCATCACTTGAAGAAGCAGCTGACCGCAGGTTGATGGCCCTCATCTGTGAGGCAAAGGGAGATTATGAATCTGCACTTGAGCACCTTGTTCTTGCCAGCATGGCCATGATTGCCAATGGGCAAGACAATGTGGTTGCTTCTATTGATGTTAGCATTGGTGATGTTTACCTGTCCTTAAGCCGCTTTGATGAAGCTGTCTTTTCCTACCAGAAGGCACTTACAGTATTCAAATCCACTAAGGGTGATAACCACCCTTCAGTTGCATCTGTTTTTATCCGCCTTGCTGACCTCTACTATAAGACAGGCAAGTTCCGGGAGTCTAAATCATACTGTGAGAGTGCACTTAGGATATACACAAAACCGGTGCCTGGAACCACAGCAGAGGAAATTTCTAGTGGGCTGACAGAAATTTCTGCAATCTATGAAGCTGTTAATGAACCTGATGAGGCACTGAAGCTCTTGCAGAAGGCAATGAAATTGTTAGAGGATACACCAGGGCAGCGAAGCACAATTGCTGGGATAGAAGCACAGATGGGTGTGATGTTTTACATGGTTAGAAGATATGGAGAGGCTCGGCACTCCTTTGAGAGTGCTATTGCCAAGCTTAGAGCCAGTGGAGAGAGAAAATCAGCAGTTTTGGGGATTGTGTTGAACCAGATGGGACTGGCTTGTGTACAACTATACAAGATAGATGAGGCTGCCGAATTATTTCAAGAGGCAAGGAGGATACTAGAGCAGGAGTGTGGTCCATATCATCCAGATACTCTTGGTGTATATAGCAATCTTGCAGCAACATATGATGCCATGGGAAGGTAAGTGTATTTCATTCCAAGCTTTTCTGCACTATGTTTTCCTCAAAGTTATTTAGTTTATTTGTTAAAGAGAGAAAGAAGAAAAAGAGAAGGAAGTGAAAAGATGAGGGAATCTTTATTTGTTCCAAATTGCATTATATGAGGACAATTGCCATGACATTGCTTTTTGTCATCTGTGATTAGGGGTGCAAGTCGGGCGGGCTGGGCCAGGTTTATGGTCAACCCAGGCCCGGCCCTAAAATTTGGGCTTAAGGCCCGAGCCCAAGGTCTAGCCCAATTTTTCCAACCCGAGCCCAGTCCGCCCTGTAATTTGATGCACTTGGGTTGGGCTGGGCTCGTGTTGGTCAATGAACCCACTCTAAAATTATACATATATAAATGTATTTATGCAAATATATATACATATATTTATGTATGTATGTAAATATGCATGCAAAATATCTATACAAATGTTATATATACAAATATGTATGTATATATATGTAAATATGTATGCAACATTTACATATATACACATATATATGAGTATATAATTGGGCCGGGCTCGGGCCGGGTTTGGGCTACCTAAGGGCTAGGCCCAAGCACGGCCCGAAAAATAAAAAAACCCGACTTCTTGGGCCTGAGCCCAGCCTGATGACCGAAAATCCAAGCCCAGCCCGTGTAAAATTCCGGGTTGGGCCGGTTCGGGCTCGGGCTGGGCCTGCCCAAGTTGCACCCCTATCTGTGATTCAAGCGCTATGTAGCCAAAGTGTTCCCTAGGCGTTCTGGACTTTGTTGCATGGACACTTCAAGATGGGTGCGCTAAATCTGTGTTAGACACTCCCAACTTTTTGTCTAAATTTTGTGTGGGATTTGGACATCTTGCCTAATCCTTGTCCTTGCTTTGTCCAAGCAACATAGGTTCTAGGTGACCAACTAAGTGGACAGTATGGATATAAACATACTAGCCTAAAATACTGTTTTGGTGGATTATAAATCAGGAAACTTGGCTGTATTCACGTTTAATCTTTCTGTTTTGGGGTTAGGTAGCAAATACTAGCCTAAAATCTTTTTTGGATRCATGGCATTACATTTTCATTCTTTTACCACATTTAGTCATCATCATGTAAGCCTTATCCCAACTATAGGCATACAGGGTTGACTACATGAATCCTGTTTTGCCATTTCGTTCTGTTTAATGCCATATCTACATGAATCCTGTTTTACCACACTAGTAAAATGGACAAATTTCAAAGAAAAATTATTGCTTCAAATTTTGCTGGTTTAGAAGCAGGTTCCTTTTTCCCAAGTCCAAGACTTTTTTATAGTATCCTGCTGCTTTGATTGGTCATCCGGTGAAACCATACAGTGTAACTGAGCCTTTTTCTTGTTGCTGCTAGTGTCATCTTTGGCTTCCACTCCCATTGAATATCCCTGCCATCTCTTGATATTGAATGATTTGCGAAATTTAGATTATGGCATTGTTTGATCTCTGTATTTCATTCACTGCAGTTTATATATTCTGTTCCTTTGTTAAGCTTACAAGCTTAAAAGAAAAATAAGAAAGAAAGAGAATGATAAGGTTAAAAAAAGGTTTCAGTGTTGTGTATAACTTGTAAACAAGTACAGACAGAAAATGAGAACCATATGGATGGAYRGAAGAGGATGATTTAACAAACAACATGGCGATCTTTTTTGGTTCCATAAGCTAATGGAACTCTACAAGGGCTGAACTATTGGCACCATATGGATGGACAGAAGAGGATGATTTAACAAACAACATGGCGATCTTTTTTGGTCCCATAAGCTAATGGAACTCTACAAGGGCTGAACTATTGGCTATTTTAGAAGGGTTAAGACCAGCCAAAATGCTTGAGTTTAGAGATTTCCAAGGGGACTCCAGGACAGTTGTAGGTTGGTTTCAAGACAACTAATTGGAGTCTTGGATGTATAGGTACACCGTAAGAGAAGCATTATGGCTGGAAAGGGAACTAAAAGCAACATCCAACAACCTAGTTGTTGCCTTTGCTAAGCAAGATGTGACTAGAAGAAATCTGTATTGGAGAATCATTCCCCRTGGTTCATGAATGTATAAATTGAATCATTCCCCATGGTTCAAGATGTGACTAGGACTGCCCTATCATTTAAAGTGGTGTGAAGCATATTTTTATGGGAGAATGACAGTTCAGCCCAAGGTCAGAATTTTTAGGCCCAAAGTACAGTTGAGGTAGGTGCCAGCTCGGAATTGATGCCAATTCATGGGCGGGCGTTGGTGTATAGAGTGGAGGTTTTTGACATTTTGAATGTTTATAGATCTGCAGTGGAATTCAGAAATCTGCATTGGGCCTGTCCGTACTTCTCTGTATTTTTATTCTACTGTAAATCATTCTTTTTGACATATTTACAACATCCCAAGTTATCAATCAAAAAGCAAAAAATAAAAAATAAGTAACTTGAGACAAGATTCCATCAACTGCAATGCATAAACAACTATGATTGGTAAACAAGAACCTTATAGCTGGTTAGACCTGTTCATAAAGATTTCAATTGTAAGCAGATGCCACATTTTTTGCATGTTGAGTATTTATGTTAAAACCATCCTTGTTCAAATCATGCCTTGGAAAACCTAATGGAGAGTTGGCTAACAATGTACGCATTACTTTTATTTGACTTTAATCATGTTGGACCTCACACTTCAAATCTGTAATTCTTTCAAAATGGATTGTGATCTTCAATTGTAACCAGATGCCACATTTTTTCATGTCAAAGTATTTTGATTAAATCCAACCTTATTATTAAGTCACACCTTGAAACACCTTATAGAATGCTAGCTAACAATTTACAAATTACTTTTGACCTAATCATGTGGACATCATAGTTGGGCATACATTCCTTTCAGATTATCACTTTGGTTGTTGGTACTTGTGATGATCAGGGCTTGTCAATGGAACATGTTCTTATATTTTAGTGTTTGAAAACCCAATTTCTTACACACACACACACAAAAGGAGGTCTGGGAACTCAATATTTCTGAAACCAAAAGCTTACAGTGCACCTATTTGATCTACTTTGTTAAACGTTTCATGGTTGCGTATTACAGGGTAGAAGACGCAATTGAGATCTTGGAATATATTCTTAAGGCGAGGGAAGAGAAGCTTGGGACAGCAAACCCCGATGTTGATGATGAGAAGAAAAGGCTAGCTGAGCTCTTGAAAGAAGCAGGCAGGGCCCGAAATAGAAAGGCAAAATCACTTGAAAACCTCCTTGATTCTAACTCTCAGAGGATGAAGAAGGAGGTAACAAAGAGGTGGCCCAGCTTGGGTTTCAGAACTTGACAAAGAATTTGTCATTCATTCTCCTTATACGTACTCACTCTCTGTAACATAGAAGATCAATTTGAAAAGAGTCCGGTTTCCAATCAGCGGGTTTTTCTTGAGATTCTAATCCACATTTGTTTATTTTTCTTCCTTGGTTCCTCGATATTTGTTTAGTCTTTAAGATGTTTTCTAGAAAGAAGCTAAGCTGTGGAATGAATAAAATATTTACGATTGATTTTTGATAGAGTTTGGAATCTTCTATAGAAAGTTGAATTGCAATTGGCTGATTTCCGGTACTCTCATGAATCACGATGCACTTACCCCTGTAATTTCAGATCGAAAGAGGGTCAGACTTTTCTCTGTTCATTTTGTACAAGCGAGTCAGATACTCCTTCCAAAACTGTATTCTATATATTTCAAATCATCCTGTGTTTTGAATTGTAAATAAAGGGGATGGTATCCATGTTTATTAGGCGAAGGCTAGAATTTGTGGGGCGAGTTCTCTTCAATTAGTACTAGTATTTTTCTTTCTTTTATTTTTCAAAACAATGCAGAGGAAAGAGGATTAATACTTTCGCCATGGTTCATTCCTGTTATTAAAAATACCCTTATACTATGTGGGCTTAGTGACAAATACCCCCTGTACTTCAATTTGCAATAGAAGTTCCCTGAATAATAAAGTCCCCCTGGCCGATTGTTAAGTCAGTTAACAGAAGGTGCTAAATTACCAAAATACCTTCTTCATAATTCAAGGGGCATGAAATTAAATTTTCAAAAATAATGAGAATGGGCAAAGAAATTTCCTCTTTTGTCTATTCTTTGTCCATTTTCTAATTTTCGTCTAAACCCAAACTTACACAAATGTACCACCGGAGAACCATTTGATGAGTACCCTACATTGTTCTTCGTTGAAAGTTCTTGTGACCATCTCACCGATGAAGAGCTATCTGGTATTGTTGTCATTGAATATAGAAAGGTCTGGTAATACCAAAAAGAATCAATCTCATCTTTTATGTCATTGTCAAAAAGGTATTTTTATTGCCATCATGGGAGAATAACCTATCTACACGTATGCTACACCAGCCAAGAGGACCAGGAATTTTGGGCTATTAAAGTGCAAGTGAGGGAGTAGGGCTGTTTACAGGTCGGGTTGGGTTAGTTTATTGGCATTTTTTCAACCAACCCGACCTGGTCGGTTTACCTAGAAATGAAACCGAAACCGATTCAGTACTAAGTAAAACCGACCTGCTCGGTTTGAATCAATTTGGGTCGGTTTTGTGAATGATTCTCTCAGTGTGAACGGTAAAGGATTCAAGTCTAAGAAATCAAAGGCTGGATGCCTGGAAATTAAAAATGATTTGATGGATTAAAACTGATATTTTATATATCAGAAATTTTATATATAATATGTATATTTYTGAAATAAAGCTGAAATATATATATATTAAAACTGAAATATATCATATATATATATATAATATCTGAAATATATTATATATATCTAAGTTGGTTCGGGTCGGTTCGGTTTCGGTTTTCACACATGAAAACCGAACCATTGGATTATGTTTTTTTATAACCCGAAACCGACCAATGTTGAAGAAAAGCTGGCCAACTCGGGTTGGATCGGACCGGGTTGGTCGGTTTGATCGATTTGGGTCTTGTTATGAACAGCCTTATRAGGGAGTAAAATTGTTTGAACAATAATACAAGGGAAATTTTTAGATTTAAAAAGCCTTAAACAGTTAAATGAGAATATTTTTTATGTTAATTGACGGAATGCTAAGGTAGGATGTTTTTGTTGCAATATAAAATTTCAGGGGCTTTTTTTGTTGCAAATCAAAGTACAGGGGGTATTTGTCATTGACCCATAGTCACGGGCTCTTTGTAAGTTTCCAAAAAAACTTGGGCTACTATTGCTTCTTTTGCCAGGACATGCTAAGCTGGCGTTTTCCCCACAGTCGAAAGTGTTGGACGACTACTCGATTTTCACATTTAAACCCTAAAGCCTACATCCTAAACCCTAACACTAAACACTACACTAAATCCCTAAATTCTACATGTAAAATGTATTTATTACGATGCATTTCCTCCAATCAAATAGGAGTCAAATATTTTCTATGATGCGGCAGGGGTTGTGCACTTGTGCTGATCGGTGTTTTTGAATTGTCGTTGATCCGGAGGGTCAGACTGTTTTGTTCAGGAATCACCTAAGGGTTTCATTTTATCCTAAATCTGGTCAATGGCAAAAAACCGTTGAATTGGTCAGTGACCTGCTGAACCGGGCAGTCAAACCGTCGATCCGTTCAATAGTTTTGGCCTTTTTATTTTAATTATTTATTTTTTAAGTTGAAATGGGTCATTCGTTTAAACCAGACGATCGAAYTATTGACCTAGAAACCAGTGGCAAGAGGTTTTGGTTTCGGGTCAGTTTTTAAAACCTTGGTGCTGATTAGGGGTGCAAGTCGGGTGGGTTGAGCCGGGTTTATGGTCAACCCGGGCTCAACCCTAAAATTTGGGCTTAAGGCCCGAAGTCAAGCTCGATTTTCCCAACCCGAGCCTGTACCRAACTGTAATATGATGCACTTAGGCCTAGGCTAGGCTCAGGTTGGTCAATGAACCCACTCAAATTATACATATACTAGTGGGGATCTGATGGGAAAATCTGAAAGATTGAATAATTTTATTTAGTATTAATTAATTGATAAATTAATAATCAAAAATTGTTATTAATTAACTAAAAGTCTTTAAAGTTATTGTTAATATTTAAAATTTTAATAATTGTATTTTCATTTAATGTCGATTTACAAAAAAAAATTATTGTTAATTTAATATGAACATATATTTTTTAATAAATTTAGTTTTATTAATCATTTGTAGTAATTTTAATAACTGTTATTATTTCCATTATTTTTAAATGAAATTTTCATTGGCTTTAAATAATTACAAAAGCTAACATTTTTATTAATTTTACTAATAATTAATAATTATATAGAAATAGCAATGGGGCGAATTCGAGGCAGGGCACCCTATCCCTGTCCCGCGGCTCCCGCCCCATAGTCAAGATACCCTACCCCATCCCTAGTGTTAGGTGGGTTCAGGCCAAGGCACCCACTCCACGTTAGGGACAAGGAATCCTTGAATTTCYCCACCTCGTCCTCAATGTCGGGAGAGTTCAGGGCAAGGCACCCACTCCTCATCAAGGATGCGGAATCCTCGAATTTTCCCCACCCCGTCCCCAGTGTCAAGGGGTTCAAGACAAGGCACCCACTTCCCATCAACCCAATATTCAATTTGATGACAAAAATGATCAAACAGATATATTCAAATTTATTTTTAAATTGTTATTAAATGATTTGTTTTCGTTTTGAATAGTTAACTTACAAAATTACACTAATTTAGCTTATATTTTCTAATATAAACTAATCAATAATTTCCATTTTCCAATATTATACTAATTTATCTTAATAATTTGAGTAATTATATATTCAAATTATAGTTTTCTCTTTCCCACACTCATTTATATTTAATAATTTTCAATAATTTACAATAAAAATTACATCTTTTTTCAATAATTTTTTTGAAGTCTATCAAATGTAACAAATTTTCCTAAAATTTCCAAAATATTCCAAAATTTCGAAAATATTTCAACAATTTGAAATAAACTTTCAAAAATTTTATATCTTTTAATTCCCAAAATTTAATTCAATAATTTTTGTATATGAGTATTTTTCAGTATTTTCAGCATTTATTTTTGCATATTAGTCATTACAAAATTAATTTGCATTTGCTTTCAATAAAAATAAATTAAATAAATATCATAGTTAATAAAAAAAATATAGGTAATTTTCAATAATTTCTGGCTTGGGTATTTTTTAATAATAAAATACTATTAATTGTACTTTTTAATTATTTTCAAGAAACACCCTTATTAATATAAAAGATAGTTAATTTTCAATATTTGTTAATTAATTTTAGTATTTTAATTATGTTTTGGTTTTTCAAAAATTTCTCAAATTTTAATTAATTATTGGTATTTTTTCATTATTATTCAGTAATTTTTGTAATAAAATACTGTTAATAAAATAGGCTCTGCATTTTAAAATTTCATTGATTTTTATTATTTTTAATGAGTTCATTATGCACAATAAAGGTCTCAACTAATAAATATTATTAATTAATTAAAAATTTATTAACACAAAGTTATCTAATAATATTATTAAAACTATCAATTAATATTTTATATTTAAATTTCTTATTTTTAATTAATTGTTAGTATTTTTTCATTTATATTCAGTAATTTTTGCAATAAAATACTGCTAATAAAATGGGTTCTGTATTTTAAATTTTGATTAATTATTATCATTTTTAATGAGTTCATTATGCACAATAAAGGTCTTAACTCATAAATTATCTGATAATATTATTAAAACTATCAATTAATATTTTTATATTTAAGTTTTTTTATTTTTATTAGTGTTTATTAAGTTTTATTTTTAAATGGAATTGAAACACATTTTTAATATTTACTAAGTTTTGTTAATATTTATTTTTAGTGGATTTTTAAATTAATATTTTTTTTATTATTTAACCTCAACCTATTTTTATTATTACTCTCTCTCTCTCTCTCCCTCTTAAATGTCTTTTTTAAATGTAATAATAACATGCATTAAAATAAGAGGCTTTGAAAAAACCAAAGGTCTCTCTAATAGTGTGCAACTTTATTAATCTAATCAAGATAAGCAATGATTACTGTTTTATATTTTTAAAACAAAAGAAAATAAGAACAAATGCAAAAAATGGAGAAAATAAATAAATAACTTCTCTCAAAGGAGTGACATGCTGACATGGATAGACCAATGTCAAAAGTGAGTGATTGTTCATTGGAACTGTATACTCATAAGGTTGGTTCGACACTCGCCCCCCGCCCTAACTATGCTTGCAAGTTTCCCCACACTATTCTTCTTTAGTTACGCCCTTTCTCAAAGACCATAAGACCCTGATGGAATTTAAGGCATACAAACAATAGGGGGCTGTTCCTCACCCTGCAAATGGAGGAGCAAGTTCAGGTGCCCGCTAGATTGCTCCTCCATTTGCAAGGTGAGAAACGGTCCCATGTTGTTTGTAGGCCTTTGATTCCACTAGGGTCTTTCAATCTCTTAGAAAGGGCCTAACTAAAGAATAATAGTGCTCTTTCTAAGTTTGGGGGAGGTGGGCGTCGACCCAAACTGCAAACGGGCCGGGGAAACTTGCAAGTTTCCTTGCAAAAAGCTCTTCACGCCTACTCTTAGAAA